GTTTCACTGTTCGTAATATGGTTGAAAGTGCCGCTATTCGTGATATAACCGAGGCTTGCGTTTATCCTGGTATATGCAATTAATACTTCAAAGCTTTGGAAATTTTGAAATTTGCAAAATCTTATGTCTATGGAGAAAGAATTAGTAATTTCCTTCCTGTTTTTCGTATAGAATATACACTGCCAAAACTTTATATCAAGTTGCATTATTGCGTCTCTTGCGCGATTCACTCCCATGTAGTCAGAGTAAGGTCGCGTGAAGGACGTCGTAATCGTGCTCCGCCAGCCAGGATTCGATTTAATAAGGTATTTGAATCTTTATTCTTATTTATATTTTCTCGTCAATTCATTTTCGATTATTAAAAAATCCTTTTATTAAAATAGGATGGAAAAAAAATTAATCCAAATGTAACGCAAAAAGCTACTTAAATCTTTATACTCTTCAGACAAAGACGTCTACATGTCTCCAATATGCTTGCATTTGTATAATTATACTAAAAATATATATTATTACAATTATTCTACTCAATTATGTGTTTATTTGAAGTAAATCAAAAAATAAAAATAGACATGTAATTTATTACTAATGCAAATAATTACTATTGTACATGTATATATCATTTTCTAATGTATTTTATCAAAATATAATATAGCCAAGAATTCCTTTTATTATATTTACATGTATTATAATTGTACAATTAAGCAATATTGCAAATATTAAAACTAGTTTAAAATTGAAAATCAATGTTGAATTAATTTCTATTAACCTTTAACCAAATTTGTCATTGCCAATCCATGTTTGTGATGGAAAAATGAGCCATAAAGAAATGCCAAGCAATCATTGCAGCAACTATAACTAGTGGCATGAGTATAATAACATTAAGAAAACATAAATTTTTAGTGTGTAAAAATATATGTGAAAAAGAAAACAATTGATAATTAGGATGATTTGTTGTTGACTATTCAGAAAGATATTACACACAATCAACAATTTTTTGTTTTCGCAATGTAAAGAAACAATTGTAATAGTTGGTTCATTGATTGATTGCTCATTTCTTTTTTATTATATATCCCAGTTAATTTACTTCACAAAGAAGCTGCTTCTCCAGAATGTACCTTCCCTCTTTGTAACGTTGACTCTGTTCATAGGCTTTTTCCTAGTTATAAATAAAGATTATTAACGATGACGAAAATATAAAATACTAATCGATCAACTCACATATTTCCATCCTAACACAGCCCGACATCGAGAACAATAAATATCTTTGACAGTGTGAAGACCTGTGGTCATATGACGATCCTCGGAAGGCCCTTCATCTACATTGACGCTGAATTAAGGAAAAAATTATATGATCAATATCGAGTGAACCTAAAATAATATGGAAAAATCTTTATACAAAACAATAAAATTCCTTTGATCTTTTTAAATAAATGATAATAAAAAAAACGATTAAGATTACATACACATTATCAAAGAGATAAGCGCGTCCATGCTGACCCTGAAATGCCTACGTGGCGTACATAAAATACCCATTCAAAGAAAAATGTCGAAATGAGCAAGTTTAATGAAATGGTTAGAAGATTTAGGAATTTACAAAATAAATAACCTTTGAGAGAATATTCTCAGTTGTAGAAAGATGTGTTCGACACTTGCTACATCCAAAAATACGACTTCCTTCCAAATAAGTACGATAAGTAAGCCCCATTTTGATTAGTAAACCTTTTTGTCGCTAAATAACTTTTTGGTTAAAGTTTCAAATGAATCAAGGCAAAAAGCGATCGCGTTTAATTGCTATAAAGTTTTACTTTACTGAAAAGATTAGCTGGGAAAAGGATTCAAAATTGCACAAAAAAATTAAATATTATTATATTAATGTCGAAGTTTCTTGAAGGTTTAGGGAGAAAAAGGTTCATACTCGCACAACGGTCCTTCTGTCGGATTCCGACCCCTGACTATCTGTATTACTGATGATCGTCATCCGGCAACTTTTGCATGTGAAAGTATGTGAAAGCGAAAACTGGGGAGGGCGTGTTAAAACGCATCTGTAATCAATACGTCGAAACCTCTATATCGACTCGGTCGAAATTCGAGCCTATAGACTACTATGCAAGATTACTATGTATACATTTGACACATTTTGCAGCTCATGTGGTCCCCTTTTTTCCGGCCCTAACTTTTAACCAGTCTCTTAAGTGGAATATCGAATCTCGATAAATCACATGATCAGCAAAATGTAGAGATTCAATAAACATTACACGTTATAAACTCGCCTGTCTTGGGTCCCAAGGGGGAGGTTTCTCTGTATAACAAATCAATCTTGACTTTAAGTTTTTATATCAAGAATTGTTATATAAGGGCTAATTTTTTGGAATCAAGTCACACAAATTATTTTTATCAAATATTCTGTCCAAATCATATCAAATTTTTAAAATATTTGTTATTATATTATAATTGATGAATGGATTAATTATTGAATGACATTAATTGCATAGATTTTATAATTATGTGCAGACTTTGCGCCATTACGGACCGATTACGTCATAGTAGAGCTATGTGTCATATAACGGAA